ACATTTTATTTACATTAAAAAAATTATAATTATATATAAAATTTTAATTTAATAATTTATAATAATAAATAAAATTAAGTAGTAATTTTTATAAATTAAATAATATTATAATAAAAAGAAAAGTTAATAAATTAAATTGATTAAATTAAGATTTAGATAGGGATTAGTAATGTGAATGATTATTTTAAAAATTTAAAAGAATATTTTAGCTATAGTACCTTTTGTATCAGGGTTTATTAAATAATATTTAAATAAGATTTAAAATCTCGAAATTAAAAGAGTTAATAGGCTATAATAGTTAATGTAAAATAATTATTATAAATAGTTTATTAGAGGATATATTCTAGTCAATTTTAAATATCTAGTTTTTTTAAAATTAAATTTAATTTAATTATTTAATTATATTAAATTAATAAATAAAAGATTAATTTATTATTAAATAAAAAAAAATTATGGGATAAACTATAATTTAATTAATAATAATTTTTTGACTTTAATTAAATAGTGATAGTATTAATATTATATTTTCATTACAAAAATTTAATAATTTATATTTATAATTTAGTTGTTAAGATTTATGAAAGTGTGTTTTAATAAGTATAAAAATATTAATTGTAATTAGAGTAAGTAAGTAATAATGATAAAATTAGTAAATTATTAATTAATTATTTAATATAAAATTATTTAAATATAAAATTAATGAATTAGGCAAAAATTAAAGTTCAACTGTTTAATAAAAACATTGTTTTTAGAGTATAATTTAAAATTAGTTCTGCTCAATGAATATAATTTAAATAGCTGCAGTAAATTGACTGTACAAAGGTAGCATAATCAATAGTCTTTTAAATGAAGTCTAGAATGAAGGAGCTAATGAGATTTTAACTTTATAAATTTTATAAGTTAAATTTATTTTTTAAGTAAGAAAACTTAAATAAATTTATGGGACGAAAAGACCCTATAGAATTTTATTTTTAATTTATTATATAAAAAAATTAATGAATTAAAAATTTTATTGGGAGGATAGTTAAAAGAAAAGAAACTTTAATAAATATTTTTTCCATAGATGAATGATTATTATATTTTTAGAAAATAATAATATTAATTAAATTAAAATTAATTACCTTAGGGATAACAGCATAATTTAATTTTGTAGTATATATATAATTGGGATTATGACCTCGATGTTGAATTAAGATAAATTTTGAAATAAGAATTTTAAATATTTAATCTGTTCGATTATTAAAATCTTACATGATTTGAGTTTAGATCGGTGTGAGCCAGATCGGTTTCTATCTATAAAAAAATTTTATAAATTTGTACGAAAGGATTGTTTATGAAAAATATTTTTTATTTTAAGAATAAAATTAATATCTATAATATTACTTTGGCAGATAGAGTGCATTAAATTTAGAATTTAAAGAGGTGTTTAATTATTTAAATATAAGTAATTATTATTTGTAATTATATTGATTATTTGTTAATAAATTTATATAGATTATTGCACTTATTATTAATAGTCATAGTAGGGGTTGCTTTTTTAACTTTATTGGAACGTAAGGCATTAGGATATATTCAAAATCGTAAAGGTCCAAATAAGGTAGGATTTAAAGGAATTTTACAACCTTTTGCTGAGGCTATTAAATTATTTAGAAAAGAGTTTATTAATATTTATAAAATAAATAAGATAATTTATTTATTTATACCTATTATAAGATTTATTATGTTATTAATAATCTGAATAAATTATTTTTTTGTTACTAATGTTTATTTCATAAGTTATTCAATATTAATAATTATTATTATTTTAAGTTTAAATAGTTATACCATTATATTAATAGGTTGATCATCAAATTCAATATATTCAATAATTGGATCTATTCGATCTTTAGCTCAAGTTTTATCTTATGAAGTTAGATTTATTATAATTGTTTTAATTCAAATAATTTTGAGTGAAAGTTATAGGTTAATTGATTTTATTAAATGACAGGTTAAGCTTTCTTATTTTTGAATATTATCTCCTTTAATAATTATTTTTTTTATCAGAATTTTAGCTGAGTTAAATCGAAGACCAATAGATTTAGTAGAAGGAGAATCAGAGTTAGTTTCTGGGTTTAATGTAGAATATTTTAGAGGTCCATTTGCATTAATTTTTTTAGCTGAGTATGGTATAATTATTTTTATATCATATTTAATAGTAATTTTGTATTTAAGAAGGAATTTTTATATAATAATATTTATATTAAGTATTTTAGTTTTAGTAATTATTTATATACGAGGAATTTTACCTCGTATTCGATATGATGAGATAATGTATATATGTTGAAAGATTGTTTTACCAATGACTTTAAATTATTTATTTTTTTTTTTAATATTTAAAGTAATATTTTCATTAATAAATTATAAGTTTATAGAAGATTTATTATTTCTTTATTATGTTTTCAAGACATAAACTTATTTCAAGATCATAAACTTAATTTAAAATTAAAAAAAAAATATTTAGAATTATATAAATATGATTTTTAAAGAAAGTAAAATGATTTTTAGGATTAAATTAATTTTCATTGCAAAATTCTCTAAAAATTTTAAAATTATATTAATAAAATTTTAATTAATTTTAGAGTAATTATAAAAAAATAATTTAATTAGAGTTAATTTAATTAAAAAAGTTTTAATTAGTTATAAATTAAAAATAGGTTAATTTAATCTAAATTATTAAATTAATTTAAATATTAAGAGTAAATTAAAAAATCTCAAAAATTAGTAATTCATATAAATATAATTAGGAAGCTAAAATAGGTAATAGAAAAAAATTGACTTAAAAGTATATAAGGAGATTCAATTAATTGAGCTCCTAATCAGGTAAGAATAATAAAGGTATTGATAAATAATCAAAATAGAATTTGATTAGGAGTATAAAATTGAGTTGTATTTATATTAGATTTATTTATAAAAGGAAGAAAATAAAGAATTAGGACTGATAAAAGAAGAGAAATCACTCCTCCTAATTTATTAGGAATTGATCGAAGAATAGCGTAAGCAAAAAGGAAATATCATTCTGGTTTAATATGAATAGGGGTTACTATAGGATTTGCGGGAATGAAATTATCAGGGTCACCTAGATTATAAGGATATTGAAAAATAAAAATAATAAAAATTATAATAATGATATTAAATCCTATTAAATCTTTAATTAAAAAATAAAAATTAAATGGAATTTTATTTAGGTCTCTATTTATTCCTAAAGGATTTGATGAACCTGAAGAATGAAGAAAGAATAAATGAATAATTACTAGGAATAAGATTAAAAATGGTAAAATAAAGTGGAATGAAAAAAATCGATTTAATGTAGCATTATTGATAGAAAATCCACCTCAGATTCATTGGACAATATTAGGACCAATTCATGGAATAGTAGAAATTAAATTAGTAATAACAGTAGCTCCTCAAAATGATATTTGTCCTCATGGAAGTACATATCCTAAAAAGGCAGTTGCTATGGCTATTAAAAAGATTGAGGTTCCTGATATTCAGGTATATTTTAATTTAAATGAATGAAAGTAAAGACCTCGCCTAATATGTATATAGATTAAAATAAAAAAAAAAGATGCTCCATTTATATGAATATTATGAAAAATTCATCCATAATTTACATTTTGAATAATGTGAATAATTCTAAGAAAAGCTAAATTTAAGTTAGGACAATAATGAATAGAAAGAAAAAATCCTCTAACAATTTGAATAAGTAAGAATAAACCTAAAAGGGAACCAAAGTTTCAAAGATATGAGATATTAATAGGAGTGGGTAAATTAGCAGAGGTTTTAATAATTTTATTCATATTTGTTAATTAATTTTTCGTAATGTTATTCTTATTGAAGAATTATTCATTTTGATAATAAGAATAAAAGCTAATAATATAAATAATATTCTTATTAAAGTAAGATTATTCATAGGATATATATATATAGCTATAATATTATCAAATCTTGAAGAAAAAATATCATTTAATGATTTTATGTCTAGTACAGGATATCTAAATTGAGAGAATACTTGATAATTTCCAACTTCAATATAAATAATTATTGCAAAACCGTATGCTCTTAGCATAAAGAATGTTTTGCATGAAGAATCTTTTTCTTGAGGCTTTGGCTCATTAGAAATAAGGCTAGTAAAATAACCGTAAATAACTATTAATCCTCTAACTATAATTAAAAAGATTAAGGTAGCGAAGAGGTAAGAATATTTTCATGAAGAAAAATAAACACAGGTAATGATAACTGTAAATAGTACGAGAATAATAATAATAACGGGATGAAGAATTTTAGTATATATAATAATAATAGTAGAAATTATAAAAAAAAAAAGAATTATAAATAATACTTGAAGAAATTTATTCATATTTTTTCAAAAAATAGTTTAATAAAGAATATTAATTTTGGAGATTAAAGGTAGGATATTATTTTTTTTTTTGAATTTTATAAGTAAATTTTAAGCTTTAATAATATTATATAATTATAAATATAATTTACAAAATTATTATTTTATTTAAATTATAAAGCTTATTTTTGAAAGTTGAAGTTATTCAGTATGATATTTTGTTAATTTTGATAATGATTTTAAATTGTTTTTTATTAGTTATATTAATATTTAAATTTATATTAGTAATTTTAATAGTGATTGAGATTATAGTTTTATTAATTTCTATAATAATTTATATTATTTTTAGAGTTATTAATTTAGAAATTAATTTAATGTATTATTTAGTTTTTAGAGTTTGTGAAAGAGTGTTAGGATTAATAATTTTAGTTTTAGTAATTCGTTTTTATGGAAATGAGTTATATTATACTTTAAATTTATTTAAATTTTAATATATATAAAATTTAATATAACCTATGATAAAATATATATTTATAATAATTTTTATATTATTTATATTAGTATGAAATAGAATATTAATATTTTATTATAATTTATGTTTTTTGTTTGTTTTTATAATATTATTTCAATTTTACAAAATTGATATTATAGTAAGGACTAGTATGTTTTTTAGATTAGATTATTATTCTTTTATATTAATTATTTTAAGAGTTTGGATTATAGGCTTAATATTTATGAGTTTAGTAAATGAAAAAATAAAATTAAAGATAAAGATATTTGTATTTATTATAATAATATTAATTATTATAACTTTTTTTTCTGTAAAAAATATAATTTTATTTTATTTTTTTTTTGAATTGAGATTAATTCCTACTTTTTTAATAGTAATTTATTGAGGAGCTAACCCAGAACGATTAAGAGCTTCTTATTATTTATTAATATATACTATAATTATTTCATTACCATTATTAATTTATTTAATTATAATATATAATATTAATGGAAGATGAGATATATATATGTTGGTAGAATATAATCAAGTTAAATTAAGATTTTGGAGAATATGAATTATTATAGGTGCTTTTTATATTAAAATACCTATTTATTATTTTCATATTTGATTACCTAAAGCTCACGTGGAAGCTCCTGTGTATGGGTCTATAGTTTTGGCTGCTATTTTATTAAAGATAGGAAGTTATGGATTAGTACGAATTATTAATATTTTTTTAAAATATATAATTATGTATAATAATTTTATAATTAGAATTAGAATTATTGGAGGTTTGATAACTAGGTTTATTTGTTTTTTGCAAATTGATATAAAAAGATTAGTCGCTTATTCGTCAGTTGTTCACATAAATTTAATATTATGTAGATTAATAAGATTTAAAAAATTAGGATTTGTAAGAGCTTATATTATTATAATTTCACATGGGCTTTGTTCATCTGGGTTATTTTATATAGTTAATTTATATTATAGACGTACTAATAGACGATTATTGTTACTTAATAAAGGAATAATAAATGTTTTACCAGGATTAACTTTATGATGGTTTTTATTATGTGCTACAAATTTTTCTTTTCCTTTATGTATAGCTTTTATTGGAGAAGTGTATATATTTATAGTATTAATTCATGTAAGAATATTTTTAATATTTTATTTAATATTAATTAGATTTTTTAGGAGAGTTTATTCCCTATATTTATTTTCTTACATTCAGCATGGAGAGATAGTATTGATAGGTAAGTGTAAAGATAGAAAAATAATTGAATATATGGTAGTAATTTATCATTATTGGCCGTTATTAATAATTTTATTAAATATAATAATATTTTAAATATCTAAATAGTTTAAGAAAAATTTTAATTTGTGGGATTAAAGATATTATAAATTTATTTGATTTTAGATTATTTATATTTATATAATTATATATATAATATTAATAATATTTTTTTTTTTTTTTATTTTTAGAATAATCTTTTTTATTTATCAAGAAAGATTAATTTTTGAATGAAGGTTAATAAGAATTAATAGTATAAATATAGAATTAATAATTTATATTGATTGGATTAGTTTATTATTTATTGCTATTGTATTACTTATTTCTTTTATAGTCTTAATTTATAGAATAGCTTATATATCAATAGATGAGAATATTGAACGATATTTTATTTTAGTTTTACTATTTGTAATATCAATAATTTTGATAATTATAAGTCCTAATTTAATTAGAATTTTATATGGATGGGATGGATTGGGATTAGTTTCTTATTGCTTAGTAATTTATTATCAGAATTATAGATCTTTTAATTCAGGAATAGTAACAGTTTTAATAAATCGAATTGGGGATATTATAATTTTAATAGGGATTGGATTAATAGTATTGTATGGGAGATGAAATAATGTTATAATAGAGAATTATAGAATATTAATTATGATAATTTTTATTGCTGGATTAACAAAAAGAGCACAAATTCCATTTTCAACTTGATTACCAATAGCAATAGCAGCTCCTACACCTGTATCCGCTTTAGTTCATTCCTCAACATTAGTTACAGCAGGAATTTATTTATTAATTCGTTTTAGAAAATTTTTAATAATAAGAAGAAAAATTATAAGAATATTAATATTGATTTCAATTTTAACAATGTTCATATCAGGATTGATAGCTAGTTTTGAATATGATATAAAAAAAATTATTGCCCTATCAACTTTAAGTCAATTAGGATTAATAATAATAATTTTAAGAATAGGATTTAGTTTATTGTCATTTTTTCATTTAATAACTCATGCTATTTTTAAGTCTTTATTATTTATAAGAGCAGGGGTAATTATTCATTTAATAAATAATAATCAAGATATTCGATTATTAGGAGGTTTAAATGAATTTATTCCTTTTACTATAATAAGATTTCATTTAACTTTATTTTCTTTATGTGGATTACCATTTATATCCGGATTTTATTCTAAAGATTTAATTATAGAAGTTTTATATTTTGAGAATTTTAATTGAATAATAATATTTTTAGCACTAACTTCTTTATCTTTTACTGTTATTTATTCTATTCGATTAAGTTATTATATTTTTTTTGGCAAAATAAAAATTGTTAGAAATTATTTTATAGTCTGTGAAAGAAATTTAATAAATGGATCTATAATATCATTAATAATTTTAAGTGTAATTATTGGATCTTTGTTAAACTGATTATTTTTTTTAGATAATAGAATTTTTATTAGAATAAGAAAAAAAATATTGACTTTAGTAATTTTATTGTTTAGATTAATTTTAGTAATAGGGTTAAGTTTAGTTAATATAATAAAATTATATTACTTGAGATATTTTTTAAGTTCAATATGATTTTTGAATTATGTATATGTTTATATAAATAAGTATGTAATAATTTATTTTTATAAAATGTATTATTATGATAAATGCTGAATAGAGTATATTAGAAAAATATTATTTATTAATTTATTTAAAGAATTTTTAAATAATTTTATAAATTATAAATATAAAATATATTTGATATTATGTCTTATAGTTTCTTGAATAGTTATCAGGAGATGATTATATTTAAATAGCTTAACTAAAAGTATTATATTGAAGATATAAAGATAAATTAATTAAATTTTTTAAGTAAGTATTTATAAATAAATTTATTTAAAATATTTTTTTTATAGTGAGAAAATATAATGTTTTCAATAAACTATATAAATTAATAAGAATATAATGGTTAATAACCACTAAAATTATGAATTAGAAGTTCAAGCAAATATTTCTTAAAAGGAATTTAATTCAATAAAATTATTAACAATAATTTACCTCTATTTTGGTTTCATTTAAAAAATAAAATCTCTTAGATTTGGTACAAATCTGATATTTAAGTCGAAATTAAAATTTTATTAAGAGAATTTGAAATAAGATATAAAATATTATATTTTTGTTTTTTAAATGCAATTTAATTGTTATTAAAAGTAACTATTATCCTTTAAAGAATATAATTAATAAGATTAAAATTTTCATTCAATTATATTTTCTGAGTATTCAATATAAATACTAAAAATTAAGATAAATATAAAAATTAAGATAGAAATAGGTATACACCAGTTAAATGTATTTAATGAAATAATTAATGGGATTAAGAGAGAAATTTCAATATCAAAAATTAAAAAATATAAGTCTAATTAGGAAAAATTGAATTCTAAAAGGAAATCGAGAGAAGAAATTGAGTCAAATCCACATTCATAGGAAGAATTTTTTTCACGATTGTCAATTATTTTTTTTGCTAAAATTAAATTTAGTGATACTATAAAGATAGAAAGTGTAAAGAATACAATAAAAAATAGAAAAAAAATAATCTACATTAAAAAATTAATTTTATTAATTGGAAGTTAATTGTAATAGTAAATATATACTATGTAGATTTAATAATAAAATTAATTATTAAATTTTAATATCTTCATCAGTAAATAGAGATATATAAAAATAATCATACTACATCTACAAAATGTCAATATCAAGCTGCAGCTTCAAATCCAAAGTGATGTGATGAAGAAAAATGTAAATTATATATTCGAAAAAGAGAAATAGTTAGGAAAATAGTACCAATAATTACATGTAATCCATGAAAACCTGTTGCAATAAAAAAGATAGAACCATAGATAGAATCGGCAATAGTAAAAGGAGCTTCAAGATATTCAAAAGTTTGAAGAGAAGTAAAATATATACCTAATAAAATAGTAATTATTAATCTTTTTCTACTTTCTTTAAAATTTTTATTATATATTGAGTGATGAGATCAAGTAATAGTAAGTCCTGATGATACTAAAATAATAGTATTTATTAGAGGGATATCATAAGGATTAAAGGGAATAATTCCATAAGGGGGTCAAAGTTGACCAATTTCAATAGAGGGTGATAAAGATGCATGAAAGTAGGCTCAGAAAAAAGATAGGAAAAAAAAAATTTCAGAAATAATAAATAAGATTATACCAATTCGAAGGCCCTTATAAACTATAAAAGAGTGAAATCCTTGAAATGTAGATTCTCGTGTAATATCTCGTCATCATTGAAAAAGACAAATTAAACTACAAGGAATTGTTAGTGAAAGTATAATTAAATTTATTAAATCATCTAATAATTATAATTAAATTATTTAGTAAGCATAATGATATAATTAGGGGTCATGGTCTAATAGTAACTAGGTGAAAAGGATGATAAAAGTGGGATTTGTTCATATTTTAAATTTCTCTTCTATAAAGAAGGGAAAGAATTGAAAATACATAGGCTTGAATTAATGCTACTGAAATTTCTAAAATGAATAAAATTAATTGAGTTATAAGTAGAGAAGGAATAAATAAAGAAAGTATAGAGGTTCCTGTAGACCCTAATAATGATAAAAGCAAGTGACCTGCAATTATATTGGCTGTAAGTCGAATAGATAAAGTAATTGGACGAATTAATAATCTAATTAATTCAATAATTACCATAAAAGGCATTAATAATGAAGGAGTATTTGAAGGAGTTAAGTGGATAAGTATTTGATTAAAAAAATTTACTCAAGAATAAATTATAATTCCTATTCATAATAAAAGAGATAAAGACATACAGAATCTTATATGACTAGAGGCGGTAAAGATATATGGAAATAATCCCATAAAGTTATTAGATAGAATTAGAAGTATAATAGTGATAAAAATAATTAAATTGGAATATGAGAAATTTAATAAGATTTTATATTCTTTGAAAAAATATGTTAAAAATGATTTTAATATAGAAGCATATCGAGAAGGAATAATCCAGACTTGAGATGGAAAAAGGGCGAGAATAATTATTAATCTAATTCAATTTAGAGAGAGGTATGAATTAGTAGAAGGATCAAAAATATTAAAAATATTAGTTATCATTTTCAAGTTCAATTTTTAAGAGAGTCATTTATTAAATTGTTTAATGATGTAGATGCTAATGGGTAAAGTAGGTAATAAGCTAAAGCTATAATTATAATAATGATAAAAGTAATTAAAAAAAATAAAAAGGTCCATATTATAGGTATTATTTGTGGGATAAAAGAATATTAAATTAAAATTAATATTTTTTAAATTGACAATTTAATGTTTAAATTTAAACTAATTCTTTACATTAAAAATAGATGTATGAATAATTCTATTATGTTTGATTTAAAAGATCAATACTTTTTATCAGTCATTTAATGAGTTATCTAAAAAAAAGATTTCTGAATTACTATAAGCTCAGCAAAAAAAATTTTTTATATTTGTAGATTCAATAACGATAGGTATGAATCTGTGATTTAATCCACAAATTTCTGAACATTGACCAAAGTAAAGTCCTGGTCGATATATAAATAATAAGGATTGGTTTAAACGACCCGGTGTAGAGTCTATTTTAATTCCTAATGAAGGTACTGTTCAGGAATGAATTACATCAAAAGAAGTGGAAATAATACGAATAGGATAATTATAGGGTAGGACACAACGGTTATCGACATCAAGAAGACGAAATTCAGAAAGAGATAAGGAAGATGAAGGAATTATGTATGAATCAAAAAATACATTAAAAAAATTTGTATATTCATAAGATCAGTACCATTGATGTCCAATAGCTTTAACTGAAATATTTGTAGAGTTAATTTCATCCGTGAGATATAGTAAATTAATAGAAGGAATTGCAATATAAATTAGAATAAACATAGGAATAATTGTTCAAATAATTTCAATAGTATGACCTCTAAGTAAATTACGATTAATTATTTTGTTAAATCATAAGGAAAGTATAATATAAGAAATTATAATAGTAATTATAAAAATAGCAATTATAGTTGTATCATGAAAAAAAATTATTATATCAATACTGGGGAATTAGAATCTTGTAAGGATGTTAATCAAGTATTCATATTTAATAAAAGATATTTTCTTTATAAATTAGATTTTAGATCTAATGCACTTAATCTGCCATATTAAAAAATTGTTGGAATTTCATTAAATCTATGATATATGGAGGGAATGTCATTTTTCATTCTAAGGAGGAGTTTAATGAAAAGATAAAGATAATAATTCGTTTAGCTGATAGAGCTTCTCAAATAATATAAAAGAATAAAATTAATCTTGAAATAGAGATTATAGATCCAATGGAGGAAATAATATTTCAAGATAAAAAATAATCTGGATAATCTGAGTAAGTCGAGGTATACCTCTGAGTCCTAGTATATGTTGAGGGAAGAAAGTTAAGTTAACTCTAATAAATATGAGAATAAAATGAATATTTAAGTAAAAATTATTAAGAGATACACCAAAAATTAAAGGAAATCAATGAATAAATCTTGCAATAATTGCAAATACTGCTCCTATAGATAAAACGTAATGAAAGTGTCCAACAACAATGTAGGTATCATGTAGAATAATATCAATAGAGGAATTAGATAATATAATACAGTAAGTCCTCCAATTGTGAATAAAAAAATAAATCCTATTGCTCATCATAAAGAAGGATTTGATGAAATTTTTATTCCATGAAGTGTTGAAATTCATCTAAATACCTTAATTCCTGTTGGAATGGCAATAATTATTGTAGCTGATGTAAAATAAGCTCGTGTATCTACATCTATTCCTACTGTAAATATATGATGAGCTCAGACAATATCCTAAAAATCCAATAGCAAGTATAGCATAAATTATACCTAATGATCCAAATGTTTCTTTTTTACCTCTTTCATTTATAATAATATGAGAAATTAACCAAATCCTGGTAAAATAAGAATATAAACTTCTGGATGACCAAAAAATCAAAATAGATGTTGATATAAAATAGGATCCCCTCCTCCGGATGATCAAAAAAAGATGTATTTAAGTTCCGATCAGTTAAGAGTATAGTGATAGCTCCTGCTAATACAGGTAAAGATAGTAAAAGTAAAATAGCTGTAATTAAAATAGATCAAACTAATAAAGGGATTTTATCTAGTCTTAATTTTTTATTATATATATAATAATTGTTGAAATAAAATTAATAGCTCCTATAATAGAGGATATACCTGCAATATGTAAAGAAAAAATTGAAAGATCTACTGAATATCCATTATGATAAAGATTAGAAGAAAGAGGAGGATAAATTGTTCATCCTGTACCTACTCCTCTATAGACTAGACTTCTTATTGTTAATAAAATTAATGAAGGTGGTAAAAGTCAAAATCTTATATTATTTATTCGAGGATAGGCTATATCAGGAGAGCCTAATATTAAAGGACAAGATAATTTCCAAATCCACCAATTATAAATGGTATTACTATAAAAAAAATTATAATAAATGCATGCCTTGTGATTAATGTGTTATAAATTTGATCATTATAAATCATTGAGTTACAGGTGCCTAATTCTAATCGAATAATTATACTTATGGATGAGCCAATTATGCCTGAATAAATAGCTAAAGAAAATATAAAATTCCAATATCCTTATGATTTGTTGAATATAATCATTTATTCATAATATTATGACTGATAAAAGTGATAAATTGTAAATTTATTAATGAAATTAATAATTTCTAATATTAGATTAAAAAAGAATAATTTTATAATTTAAGTAAAATATTAAAATGCAATTTTAAAATTATTATTATTAAATATATAATTAAGATTTTATAAAATATTTATAATTTTAAACTTTGAAGGCTTATAGTTTATTTAACTTAAAATCATAAAATAATATAAGAATAGATAATGATAATGAAAAAAATAATATAGTAAAATATATAGAAAATTGTATAGTAAAAGATATTATAATAAATTTTTTGGTAATAATTCAATCAAATAAAATTAAGTTACATAAATTTAAGTAAATAAATATTATTGCGTATGAACTTATTATCAAAAGAAATAATATAAAATTTAATTTTAATATAGTTATAGAATAAAAGATCCCTAGTCATTTAAAGAGGATAAAAGAGAATGGGGGCAATCCTGAGATATTAATAAATTATAGTAAAAATCTTAATTTAATATAAAATTATAGTGACTAATAATAAAGGTAGAAAATGATAATTTAAAAATTATAAGAAGTATTATTGTAATTAATAATATTAATCTATATATTATAAAGTAAGTAATTCATAATTTGATTTAATAAAAATTAATAGAATTAATCATCTCGTTTGATTAATTGAAGAATACAAAAAAATATTTTTAAAATTTTGAGTATTGAAAGCTATAAATGGAGGAATTATTGCTGATAATAAAATTAAAATATAAATTAATAAAGAATTATTAGGTAAATTAAAAGATAAGATATATAGTGGAATAATTTTTTGAATCGTTAATATAATAATAATAGTTTTTCAATTAAAATTAGTAATAATGATAATTATTCAAAAATGAAATGGGGGAATTGTAAGTTTAATCATTAATCCTATTAATAAAAAAATTTTAGAAAAAATAATTAGATAAAGAAAGTTTATTATAATAAATGAAATTAAGAGTATAGAAGAAGATAAAATTTGAATGATATAATAAAAAATAAGATTTTTTTATCATTAGATATATTTAATATTAAAAAAAATAAAATAAAATTATTTATTTCCATGATAATCATATAAAAAAAAGGTTAGTGATTGAAATAGAAATTAATCTAAGGATAATTAATATAAAGATAGCTAGATAATTAAGTAGATATTTATTCAGAAAATATTTTTTTTAATAAATAGTAATAATTAAAAATTATTAAATTTATTTATAAATTATTATTTTAAATAGATTTATGTCGTCATTAAAATAACTTATTTAAAAAATGAAACAAAATTGCTTATTTTTCAAACTTTTTTTACTATGCTCATTAAGTATTATTAATTAATAAATATTTACATTTATATTAATAATATAATTATTTTTTATAGGCATTCTAAATTATTTATTAATTAAATATTTTAATTAATTTAAATACCTATTATTTATCATTATTTCAATTTATTATTACCTATTTATCAAAAAGTATAAAATATTTATATATAAAAATAAAAAAGAATAATCATTAGGTATAATAATTATTAAATTATACTTATATATTTATAAGTTCTTATATAATAAATAAAGTAATAATAATAAAGCATTTTTAAAATACATTTAAAGATTTAAATTTATTTATATATACATATATATTAATGTAAAAAGCATAATAATTTTTGAAATTATATGAAATAAGTTAATTTTATTATATATAACTAATATAAATAGTATTAAAAAAGGTTAATACTAATTATTATTTTTTATAAATTATTATTTTAAATAGATTTATGTCGTCATTAAAATAACTTATTTAAAAAATGAAACAAAATTGCTTATTTTTCAAACTTTTTTTACTATGCTCATTAAGTATTATTAATTAATAATATTTTACATTTATATTAATAATATAATTATTTTTTATAGGCATTCTAAATTATTTATTAATTAAATATTTTAATTAATTTAAATACCTATTATTTATCATTATTTCAATTTATT